AAAAAAAAAAAAGCCGCGATCGCAATTGCAATCGGCAGCACTCTGGCGGCAGCTCCACCGCACCGCTTTCTTCTCCGAGAGGGACCCGCCGCCGAATTGCCGCCGAACAGCCCGACGTGCCGCCCCTTCCCCTTGGCCGCCGCAAGCACCTGCTTGCTGGGCTGGTGCCTGGAGCCGGCCCTGGGGAGAAGGGTCCAGGGGAGGAGGGGATCTCTGCTGCAGTGGCCACAGAATGAAAAGGCCGGAGAAGCCCTGCTCTTAGACATGAGGCTTTGCGAGACAAGGAGGCAAGGCCGGCTGGTGGGTGAATCTCAGGTCTTTGCGGGCAATGCCACTCACGTCACATGGGTCCCTGGTATAACACCCTCCCCCCACCTCGTTTCCTTCAGGAAGAGTCCAAAATTCACACTGGGTGCTGGCCGGGAGAAGCGGGAAGGCAGGTCGGTGACAGCACAGCTGTGCCACGCCTGGCTTGGCACCAGCCCCCGGTGACGCCAGGCCCTGATGTGGTGTGGATGGCATTAGCAGGAGCCCCCCGTGGGCCATGTGGAGACGGGGCTAGCACTGCCGAGGGTGGGCGGGAGGCGGGGGTGGGTATATTTTCCCGAGCCCCCTGGACTCACTCATGCATTCAGACCAGGCCACTGTGCAGCCCTGCCGCCCGGGCGAAGGCAGGGTCAGGGCAAGGTCCCCCGTGTAGGCGGAAAGTAGGACAGCCATGGCGGCGGGGCCCAGTGGAGCACGAGAACGGGGCGTCTCCGTTAGGAAAGGCGGGAACAATCCCAGTGCTCATTTGCCTGCTCCCTCGGAGGAGGGCTGCGGAGAAGAGGGGAAGGGAGGCTGGCAAGAACGGGGTGTCTGTACCCGGGGGGACTGGGGCCAACGGGGGAGCCAGGCAGGGGGGAGAGGAGGAATGGGGTGAGTGTGGAAGGGGGTAGGAGACGGAAGCCTTGTGGGGCTGAAGGGGGAGGGACCAGAGCTCTGGGAACAGTCTCTGCGAAGCCACCTCCGGGGGCAAAGGGGGACAGGTCTCCAAAGCCTGGAAACTGCGCTGCTGTCTGAGCAGAGTGACCGCGTCCGGAGCCCCCACGGCGCAGGGGGGTCGAGGCGACGGTTCTGCTGCCGTCCGGGGAGCGAGCGCCAGGCCTCGCTTCCCGCCAGGCGCGGGGCGGTTAGTCAGCTCGCTCCGAACGCGCCTGGCAGCTGGTGTAGGGGAGCGCTGCTCCACTGAGGTCAGCGTCACGCTGCTTTACGCCCGCTGGGGAGCTGACGTCGCGGACGTCGCCGATAGCCTGGGCGGGCGCGGTGCCCTTGACGGCAGCTCACCCGGCTCGCGGCGGGGGTGACCTGGGCCAGTGGCTGCTCAGCGAGTTCGTGGCTCACAGGCTCCAAAGAGAGGGGCCGGGCGAGGGTTGTCACCCTGCACTGGCCGGTCGGAAAGCCGGTTAGTTCTGTCGGGCTCCATCCCCTCCGGCGTCGAGGGGACTGGCTCTGCCATCCTTCCTGCCACGCAGCGATGGGGTGGGAAGGATGGGAGGCTGGAGCAAGGTTTCTCCCCTCAGCATTGGGAGTTATCTTTGTTTGAGAGGATGGAGGTGGGCCGCTGCAGATGGTTGCCCTGCAGTCGTACCGCGGGTTGCAGGGAAATGCGTGTTGCCGAACGGCCCGGACCTGGGCTCGTGGTTCAACACAATAGCGAGTTTCGGTTCTCGAGACGATCGTTGCTGCTTCCTGGGGTTCAGAGAAGCCACCTCACTTCGCCCCCGGCGTGCACCAGTGCACCCCAAGGAACTGCCCTTCCTTCCCCTTGCCAGTGCTCTCGGGACACCCCGAACCCAGCCGCTTCCAGAAATGGAACGAGGCCATCCCGAGGCACCAGCCCTGGGGGCGTGACAGGCCGAGCTAACCCTCGGCAATGCAGCGGGCAGAGATGGGCCTTTAACTGCCTGCTCAGATGGTGGTTCCTGTTTCTCTTACGAGCCGCAGGTGAGAAAAGCAGAGAACCTGGTGGTTGGAGATGGGAGAGTCCATCTCGCTGCGGGCCCAAGAGGGGAAGTTCGGGATAACCCCGTGAAGGTTCATGCAAGGGTTAGAGCCGGCTCGCTCCTCTGTTGGTGAACATACTTGGAGATAAATGCCTCGAGGTTGGGGGACTAGGGCACGTCTAAACTGGAGCTGGGTGTGTCTCGTTACACCGCCAGCTCCAGTCTAGACGTACGCTCCGTAAGAAGTTCGGTTTGTCTGGATCTGAATTAAGGCGCGCCCTGTCCGAGAAGCCGCCTTTGCACCTTAAAAAGACACCAGGTTTTGCCCGCCATGGGCACCTCGTGTGACTGGTTTCTCCAGCCTGTGCTGGGCGTGCAGCAGAAACCGACGCAGTCGCAGTCTCATTTTAGAGGGAGGTGGGCCAGGGGTTACGTCCGGCCAGGCATGCGGTGACACTGCTTAGCCAGCGGCACGTCTGGCGGGTGTGGTTTTTAAAGGATGCCGAGGACTGGCTACTCGTGGGCACGGCGGTGCCTACAGTGTGTAACAGGCACGAAGCTGTGCGTTGCACAAGACTCGTGTAGGGGGGAATGACGGGGGAAGACGATTCAGAGGGGGCCGGGGGCCGCTTCACAGTCCTGAGGCTGATCTGACATTGCAGTGCTGTGACCCGGCCTACGGGACATCCACGGCCTCTCGCGGGGCTCCATTCTGAGCTCCCGCAATGCCCGTTGGCTTCGTCGGGATTGCCCGTGCTCAGCGGCAGCCCGGACCAGCTTTGCAATGCATAGGCTGGCCCCCTGCTGCATCTGTTTTGGCAACACCCTAGCTGGGGGGGTGGGGGGGCGGATTTAATTCATTGCTTGGGGAGGGGGATGATGGGGATGCAGTGGCTTTCCCAGATCAGCTGTCGGGGCCACCATGGGGTTATCGATTTGTGGTTGACGTTCGGGCCCTGGCTGTGATCGGCCCCGATCCTGGGCTGCAGCCAAAGGGCAAGTGCATGCCAACCTCCCCGGCTCAGTCGCCAGCTTCACCCTTCCTTTCCTTTCGCCCCCCAGGGTCCAGGAGCTATGTGGAGTCGGTGGCCCGCAAGGCAGCGACGGGGGGCGGGGGGGCGCCCCAGAGCCCCCCAACTCCGCAGGCTTACAGTACTGAGACGCCGATGAGGAACGGGGCCTTCATGAACTCCTTCGCCCCCCCCAGCCCCATCTCCACCAGCAGCCCCATTCACAGCATGGACGGGTAAGGAGAGCCGGGCACTGGCGACCAGCAGTGACCAGGCACTGTAGCGCTGGGTTTAACTCCAGGAGTGCTTTGCCCTGCAGCCCTTCCTCGCCTGAACACGCCCATCGATGACTTGGGTCCCACGAATAAGGGCCGTGCGGCGGTCAGTTTGCAGCTGTGCATTCTCATGCTTCAGGGTGTCAACTGTCACCACAGGGGTCAGGAAGGGTTACTGCCCCGCCCCACCCTCAGCTACAGCATGGCAGCTGTGAGACAGGTGCATTATGGGCTTTTCCTCCTTCCTGTGGAGCATCATTGGCCGCTGCAGGATAGATGGCCCAACAGCCAGGTCTGGTGCAGCGGCTGCCATGTGCCAGCGACGGGGATAAGCCACACGCTTATCTCCAGCTTGGAGTCTCGGACCCTCTGGTGGCATCGCTGCATTTGGCTGCCGAGGGACCAATTGTGTCACCCTGAGCTCATGCTAGAGCAGCAGGGCAGAAAACACAAGGGGAGAAACCTGGGGCTGAACGGGGCAATTTTCAAAGCCTTCAAGTGTCCATTAAACCTGGGTTTTTCAAAGGGATTTAAAGGAATTAGGTTGGGATTTCCAAAGGACCCGATGGAATTCAATGGGATCACGGCACCTATGTGTGTGCGAGAGAGCAAGGGTTGGTTTGTAGGACAGTCGGGGGGAGTGTGTGTAGGTGGTTGTGCCTGGGGGGACATGGGTGTGTGTGTGTATAGGTGGTTGTGTCTGGGGGAACATGGGTGTGTGTGTGTAGGAGGGTGTGTCGGGGGGACATGGGTGTGTGTGTATGTGGTTGTGTCTAGGGGGACATGGGTGTGCGTGTGTGTAGGTGGTTGTGTCTGGGGGGGACATATGTGTGTGTGTGTAGGTAGTTGTGTCTAGGGGGACATGGGTGTTTGTGTGGGGGAGAGGTTGAGTCGGGGGGACATGGATGTGTGTGTGTAGGTGGTTGTGTCTGGTGGGGACATGGGTGCGTGTGTGTAGGTAGTTGTGTCTAGGGGGACATGGATGTGGGTGGTGGTGGTTGTGGTGTGTGTGTGTGTGTACGGTTTTTCCGTGTGTATTAGAGAGGGCCTGTGGTTGTGCGGGTGTGAGGGGGGTTGTGTGTGTGAATGAGGATGTGAGTAGTCGAAGAGAGGGTGGGTGTGTACGAGACAGTGTGGGAAGGGTGTGCGTGTAGCTGGTTGTGTGTAGGGGGAACATGGGTGTATGTGTGGTTGCGTGTGCGCTTGGGAAGTGTGGGCTATGTGCACATGAGAGGTGTGCATATGCACACATGTAGGGTTATATGTGCATGTGTGTACATGCATGTAGGGTTGTGTGTGTAAGTGCGCATGTAGGATTGTATGTGTGTGAGGGTGTGTGCACACATGTAGGATTGTGTGTGCATGTGTGTATGTGCACGCAGGTAGGGTTGTGTGTGAGTGAGGTGTTCGCCCGCCATGCACAAAGCCCCTTTCCGACTTACCCCACAGCCTCCCTCCGAAGCCAGTGAGATCTGGGGGTGCCCAGCGCCAGGCCATTGTGCAGGATCCGGTCCCAAGCGACTGACCGACTCCTGCACACCCAGTGTTTCCCCTTAGCGCCTGCTGGGCTCATTGTGAACCATGGGGGGGGCCGGCCGCCCCCAGGGCCGCTCCGTGTGGTTTTGACTAAGGACACGCTCAGGCGCGCGGCCGCAATGGTGGGTCGGTCCCTGCTCAGGCCCGGGTGACCAATCAGTCGGGCATCAGGGGAACCCAGGAGACAAAAACCCAAGGCCCTGACCACCAGTGGGCGCTGAAGCCGCCATGGCATTTTCCTCTGAATGCTCCAAGGTTCTGCAGATTCCGCCTCTAATTCAGGAGTGGGAAAACTACGGCCCGCGAGCCGCATCCGGCCCATCAGCCATTTTAATCCAGCCCTCGAGCTCCTGCTGGGGAGTGGGGTCTGGGGCTTGCCCTGCTCCGCATGGCTCCCGGAAGCAGCAGTGTGTCCCCTCTCCGGCTCTTATGCGTAGGGGCAGCCAGAGGGCTCCATGTGCTGCTCCCGCCCCAAGCACCGCCCCCGCAGCTCCTATTGGCTGGGAACCGTGGCCAATGGGAGCTGCAGGGGCGGCGCCTGCAGATGGGGCAGCGTGCCGAGCCGCCTGGCCGCACCTTCTTGTAGGAGCTGGCTGGAAGGGGGACATGCTGCTGCTTCCAGGAGCTTCTTGAGGTAAGCGCAGCCCGGAGCCTGCACCCCTGAGCTCCCCCGCCGCGCCCCAACCCCTGACCCCTGACCCCAGCCCAGAGCCCCCTCCCGCCCTCCATACTCCTCATCCCCAGCCCCACCCCAGAGCCCGCACCTCCAGCCAGAGTCCTCACCCCCTCCCGCACCCCAACCCCAATTTCGTGAGCATTCATGGCCCTCCATATAATTTCCATACCCTGATGTGGCCCTCGGGCCAAAACATTTGCCGACCCCGATCTAATTCCTTCTGCCGTTCAGTCATCCCTCCTGAGCTGCGTGGTATTATGAATTTCTTCGGAAGGTGTCACCATCACCAGGGTGCCTGGGCATCAGTCCCATCACGTATGGCTCAGAGGGACGAGCAACCCGCTCTGCTCTCTCTTCCCTCCACAGGCCGAGCTGTTTGCCTACCATAGACAGAGTCAGAGACCAGGGGTACGTAGGCATCGGCCTCCCTGCTGGAAGCATCCTGCCCTTGTAGGAGAAGGTTCCGTAGACGGTTATGTACTGCTGCTGCCGGGTTCCTCCCCAGAGGTGCAGGATGGCTGCATTTCAGTGTAGGCGTCGATCGTTTGTTTCAGCGTGATCCAGTAGACAGGGCACTGGGAATGGAAGTCAGGGGAACTGGGTCGCTGCTTCACCTGGCCAGGTCACTTGGCCGCTCCGTGCCTGTTTCCCTATCTGTGCTATCTCTAGAAGGAAACATACTCTCCTTTGAAAGGACCTTGAGAGCTCGGGCCCAGATCCTCAAAGCTATTCAGACATCTAACGCCCGCTGGCATCAGTGGCAGTTCGGGACCTGAATCCTCGGGGACTTGTACGATCATGATGTATTTGTCTAACACTCTGCAGGATCCTTCGGGTTGTAAAGTTTTTCCTGTTGTCTCGAGATGGCACAGTGCTGCTGGGTTGGGCAGGGGCAGACCCATGTTTCCAGGCTAGATAGAGAGGAACAAAGGTTCAAAGCTTCCCGCCTAAGCTGCCGAGGCGGTAAATGGCTGCTTTGTTCCTACCTGCGTTTCCAGCCGGCCGGTGGGTATTCCAGACGGCAGGTCTGGGTTGGGCACGCCCCGACAGCAGTTTGCAGCCAGACGCTAAGCTGGGATGCTGGAAAATGGGGCCTTGGCACAAGCATCTGGGGCCCGAAGGAGCCAATTCCACAGCACAGGGAGGGTGATCTTGTGGCTCGGACAGCGAAGTGGGGGCTTGGGAGGTCTGGGTTTGATCCCTGGCTCTGCCACAGATTTTCTAGGTGGCCTTGGGCAAGTCACTCACACCCAGATCCTCAACGGTATCGAGGCACCTAACTCCCACTGAAATCAATGGGCCTTTAAGGATCTGGGTCTTGCTCTCCCAGTGCCTCAGGTGGGCTGTGGTGACTCACCTACATGAGGTGCCCTGAGGCTACGGTGAGGTGCCCCAGAGGGAGGCCAGTTACTGACTCAGGCAGTCATGAGCCTGGCGGGGAGCGCAGCGAGCTGAGCTCTTCTCTTCTTGCCTTTCCCAGGGTGTCGATCCGCAGCTACCCGTCCGAGAGCAGCGGCCACAGCACCGCCACGCCCCCGCGGCCCTCGGCCGAGTCCAGCTTCCAGGCGCCGTCGGCACACAGCAGCTACCAAAACGCGTCGCCGGCGTCCTTCAGCCAGGGGGGCTACGCCAGCCCCGAGTACCCCGATGGCCGAGCCGGCGCGAGGCCGCAGCCCCAGGTCAGCGTGGTGGGTGTTCACGTCCTGCCGGGGAGCCCCCACACCCTTCAAAGGACGGTGGCCACCAACACGCCGCCAAGCCCCGGCTTCGGGCGAAGAGCACTCAATTCCGGCGCGGCAGCCGCTCCCGGGAGCCCCGGCCTGGGCAGGCACATCATGTACGGCTATTCCACCCCGGAGGAGCAGCGTCCCACGCTGTCCCGGCAGAGCAGCGCCTCGGGGTACCAGCCCCCCTCCACCCCGTCGTTCCCCGTCTCCCCGGCCTACTATCCCGGCCTGAGCAGCCCGCAGTCCTCCTCCCCGGACTCTGCCACCTACCGGCAGGGCAGCCCCACGCCGCAGCCGGTGCTGCCCGAGAAGAGGAGGATGTCGGCCGGGGAGCGGTCCAACAGCCTGCCTAACTACGCCACGGTGAATGGCAAGATGTCCTCGCCCGTCTCCAGCGGCATGTCCAGCCCCAGCAGCGGGAGCAGCGTGGCGTACCCACACACCCTGCCTGACTTCTCCAAACTCTCGCTGCCAGGTAGGGGCTCGCCCTAGAGCATGGGGCAGACGCCTGGGGGTTGGGACTCTGGAGAGTGTCTGATGTACTTCGGATCCCGTCCAGCCCCTCGGCACACTGCTCCCTCCTCGCGCTCTTAAGATTACGTGCTGCGATCCACAGAACGGGCACGCTCCACTCTTATCCCCGGGCATCTGTACAGCACCGTCCGCCTACAGGGGCTAGATTATTTCCTGCTCGCTGCACTCCTTCACCAGGAACGCGTGGATAGCTATTACCCTGGTCCCAGCGCTCTTGTCCTGCCTATCACTGCTCTGCGATTCTCTCCTCTTCGGTACAACCTCCTGCATGCATGTGCCCTGCAGTTCACAGAGCTGCTGGGAATGGGAGGGGTTGCGTATCTGCTTTGATTTACTTCCAATGTCAGGATATATATATATAGGAGTCACCGGTGGTGCCCAGGTCCACCCCCCTCTTTTCCTTCTTCTAAAATTAGCTGTCGGAATCAAACCAGGAAAATACAGAGCTAGCATCAAAGGAAAAACCACCGTGCAGTTTATGTCACAAACACAACAGCTTGCAGACAGTGAGGTCAAAGCGACTCGGGCTGATAGAGTCCTTTGCCTGGCCGCCTGCGGTGCAGAGCTGAACCCAGCACTCTCCGGATAAGCATTCTGTAAAGGGCACCGTCTGCTTCATCGTAGTCTGTCGGAAACGTACCGACCCGCGCTTGTTACAGGCGACCCCTCCGCTGGTGGTGCCCAGTACAGATCCCCTGAAATCCGTGCGGCTAAGAGCTGCTCCTGGGTTTTGATATGAGCAGCACGTAGTGTCCTAGGCCAGAAGCCATCCGGTCTCGGCGCACCTGACAGGTTAGTCCAGGGGTGGCCAACCTGGGGCTCCGGAGCCGCATGCGGCTCCTCAGAAGTTAATATGTGGCTCCTTGTCTAGGCACCGACTCTGGGGCTGGAGCTACAGGCGCCAACTTTCCAATGGGCCGGGGGGTGCTCACTGCTCAACCCCTGGCTCCGCCACAGGCTCTGCCCCCCTCCGCCCCTTCCCACGCCCTCCCCTGAGCCTGCCGTGCCCTCGCTCCTCCCTCTCCCCCCCCCAGAGCCTCCTGCACACCACGAAACAGCTGATTGTGGTGGGCGGGAGGCATGAGGAGGGAGAGGGAGCCACTGATCGGCGGGGCTGCTGGCAGGCGGGAGGCACTGGTGGAGTGAGTGGGGGAGCTGATGAGGGGGCTGCTGATGTATTACTGTGGCTCTTTGGCAATGTAGATTGGTAAATTCTGGCTCCTTCTCAGGCTCAGGTTGGCCACCCCTGGGTTAGTCTGTTACCATGTATGTCCCTGATCCTTGAAACTCTTGGGCACATGCTTAATTCTCAGCATATGAGTATCCCCATCAATGTTGAAGCCTGTGCATAAGTGTTTGCCGGCTCGGGGCCCTTGTGAGCTCTAGATGGAATTAGAGGTGGGGTCAGGATATTTACAAGGGTTAAAGGAAGATTAAGATATTTATACTTTCAAAGTGATGCGGCTAAACGAGACCAGTAAGAGCATCTGTTCCTGTCCTGTTCTCTGGGAGGGCTACACCTTGAGATCCCTCTGGATTGTGAATCTGGAGCGGCTCTAAACATGTCTCAAATGCTTCCCTTGATTGTTCCTCTCCTTCCCCCCTCTCAGACAGCAGCCCCGAGACCCGGGCCAACGTGAAGTTTGTCCAGGACACCTCCAAGTATTGGTACAAGCCGGAGATTTCCAGGGAGCAGGGTGAGTAGCCAGCCCCGGTGACAAAGCAGCAGCCGGGGGGGGGGGGGGGGGGGGGGGGGGGACGGGAATTGGGAATCAGTGTGCAGGCGTGTGCTGGCTCTGAGACCCGCGTGGGTTATCCCAGTCCTGGATCATTTTGCCCACATCCCGGCATTATGGCAGGATTACTTCTCGATCTCTTCCTCTCCTCCCCGCCAGCAGCCAATCACCGACCCTCTTGGCGGTGCTGGAGCTGTGTCACTGATCCAGTGCAGTGTTCCCGACTCGTCTCAGCCCTCTGCAAGTGGGCATTGTTAACTCACTTGGGGGCATTCTCCCCACATTGCAACACCCCCTGACTGGCATGCCAGAGGGACGCCTGCCCTGGTACCGAGAGCTTGTCCCTGCAGAGGGATAGCGACTGGCCAGGGCTTGTCTCTGTTCCCGCTGGCAATGTTGCCAGTATTTGCATTTGGCTAGGACTCTCCGCTTCCCTGCAGCAGAGAAATGACCTCACGGTCTGTGACCAGCCCCGTTCCCAAGTGAACCTCTGCGGCAGGCTCAGGGAAGAGGAGACAATGGGGCTGTCTGAGGAAGCGGCTCCTTGGGAAAAGGTTGTGGGTAGGTGGCAGGTAATGGCAGAGAGGAAGGATGGTTTGGCCCCTAGTCTAGGCCCCAGGAAACCCAGGTTCAGTTCCTTGCTGTGCCACAGACACTCTCTGTGACCTTGGGCAAGTCATCAAATCCCAGAACTGTAGGGTGGAAGGGTCCTCGAGAGGTCATCAAGTCCAGCCCCTGGCACCAAGGAGACCCAGACCATCCCTGACAGGGGTTTGTCCAACCTGGTCTTAAAAACCTCCGGTGACAGGGATCCCACAACCTCCCTGGGAAGCCGATTCTGAACCACCCCTCACCATGAAAAAGTTTTTCCTAGTAACTAACCTAACTGTCCCTTGCTGCAGATTAAGCCCGTTACCGCTTGTCTCATTTTCAAAAGGGATTTAGGCACATATCCTATTGCCCATCAATCTGATATAGGCTTGTAAGTGCCTAAATCCCTTTTCAAAATGAGGTGTAGGTTCCTAAGTCAGTTAGGCATTGCACCGCTGAGCAGAGTGCTGCCTACATACCTTTACAAACCTGGGCCTTGTGAGTGCGCCTCAGTCCCCATCTGTACCTCGGCACGGCCCCACCTCACAGGGGGTTGTGAGGATAGATACGGTAAAGACTGTCAGGTGCTCCGATACTCTGGTGAGGGGGCCAGCTAAGCACCTGACATACACAGGACAAGATGATGAGGAGGCCGGCAGGAGGGACCTTGGATAGGGTGAAGCTACAAAGTTTGTCTCTGGATGCAAATTTCAGCTCTTGGTGTGTTGGAAGCTGCAATCATAGGTGCCAACTTTTCCTGGCGCCGGTGGGTGCTCGACGCCCCCCTCGCCCCCGGCCCCGCCACCACCCCTGCCACACCCCCTCCTGCCCCTGCCCCGCCCCCATTCCAACCCTTTCCCCGACGTCCCCGCCCCAACTCCGCCCCCTCCCTGCCCCTATCGGACTCCTTCCCCAAATCCCCGCCCAGGCCCCGCCTCTTCCCCAAGCGCGCTGTGTTCCCCCTCCTTCCCCCTCCCTCCCAGCGCTTGCCGCCGCGAAACAGCTGTTTCGCGGCGGCAAGCGCTGGGAGCTAGGGGGAGAAGCGGGGATGCCGCATGCTCAGGGGAGGAGGTGGAGGTGAGCTGGGGCGCGGCGGGCGGGGAGCTTGGCTGCACCCACCAATTTTTCCCCGTGGGTGCTCCAGCCCCGGAGTCGGCGCCTATGGCTGCAATGCGCCCCGGGCTCGCAGTCTGCCTGGAGGAAGAGTGAGGCCGGGGGCTCTCAAGCTTTCCAGACGACTGTCACCCTTTCAGGAAGCTGATTTGTCTGGCGTACCCCAAGTTACACCGCACTTCAAAACAACTTGCTGACAAAATCTGACCTAAAAATACAACCGTGTCACCACGCACTAGTACTGACAAATGGCTTCCTTTCTCATTTTTACCAGATCATTATCAAAGAAATGAACTGGGAAATAAACATTGTACTGACATTTCAGTGTATGGTGTATACAGCAGTAGCAACAAGTTGTCGTCTGTATGAAATTTTAATTTGCCCTGACTTCACTGGTGCTTTTTCTTTAGCCTGTTGTACAATGAGGCCAATTTCTAGAGGAGTTGATCTACCCCCCGAAGACCTCCGCGTACCCTCAGGCGTACATGTACCCCTGGTTGAGAATCACTGGGTTAGGCTGCCGGCTGGGATAAAAAGCCCCTGTCTGTGTGTCAGTGCATTTGCTCGATCCCTGCCGATCCCCCGTGGGAGAGCTCAGCGGCTCCTTACGCTGGGGCAGGACCCCTGTGACATGGCAGAGATCTTGGAGTGTTAATTACTCCTGCTGAGCTGTGTTGTGGCAGTGCGCAGACACCCCCGTCCAGGATCCAGGCCCCCCGGGTGCTAGGCTCTGACCAGGTGTATGGTGAACAGCAGTCCCTGTCCCAAAGACAATCTGAGTATGCGACGAGAGGCCCCGGGGACATACAGCCCAGGGACTGGGCTGGCACAAGGCGCAGATTGGTGCATTTTAAGGCCAAAGCAGGCCATTGGGATCCTCTCGTCTGCAGCCACAACACACCAGCTACCTGGCCACCGACAGGTTCATTTTCCCTAAGGCCGGTTCCATTGACATGTGGGAGCCCAAACACCTCAGCCCCACAACCTGGCCCCGAACCACCTTTATTGCCTCATTCTGTCTGTTGTTCCTTCCTCGCCCCCCTTGGCTGATGACGCAAAGGACAATATCCCCATTGAGAAAAACGGGAGGTGATCTCGGAGAGGGGGCTGGGAGTCAGGGCACCTGGGTTCTATCCCTGACTCGCTACGTGTCACCCCGGACTGGTGACGTTGTTTCCCAGTTCCCCTTCTCTGCAGACTGGAAAATGATACTACTGCTAACCTCACTGGGAGGTGAAATTAATTAGCAGCTAATTAACATTTGTAAGGCACTCGCAGAGCCTGGGCTGGTGGCAGTACTTAATGCGCTCAAACGGTACCAGATCTCACAGCCCATTGGCCCCAGGAGGTTGGTAGGTGATTCTTATGATCTCCTTGTTACAAGGAGAAACTGAGGCACAAGGAGAAACTGATGCCACATGATCAGATCTTGGGGGATGGTAACGCTAGGAGCCCATCTCTGTAACAGGCACGTGCAGGGCTGACATTCAGACTGCCTGCACGCAGTGAGAGCTGGCAAGAACGCTGGAGTGCTGCCACCGCTGCCCATCCTGCCTGTGGCCTTGTCCCCCTCACCCATTGCTTGGATCCAGCTGTTGTCTCTTGTCTTATGCTTGGCTTGGAAGCAGGAGCCGAATTTTTGTTCTGTTTGTACCGCACCAAGCGCACTGGGGTCCTGGCCAGGACGCAGGCACCTAGGTGCTACAGTAAATATCAATAATAAATAAGAATAACACCTCTGCAGGTGCCAAGATACTACGGTGATGGTCGCCACTTACTACAGAGAGGGATGGGGGGAGGGGGATGCTTAATGTTTGGCAGCCGTGTCTGAGAAATCAAGTGACGTGTCCAAAGGAGAGGACGGATTTGAGCCCAGCAGCGCCTGGCTCCCAAGTCGGTGCCTCGCCCATTGTAGAGACAAGGTGGGGGAGGTGATCTCTTTTATTGGGTCGACTTCTGTTGGAGAGAGAGACCAGCTTTCAAGCCAGGCAGGGAAAGGTACTCCGAGTGTCACAGCTAAAGGCAAGGTGGGACAGATAGTTCAGCATAAGTAGTCAGCACATATTGTAAGGAACCGTTCAAGGTAGAGTGGCCCGTTAACACCCCTGCAGTCATAGGACATAAAAGGGGGGGGATAGTGGATTTCGTATGGTTGTAATAAACCCCAAATCCAGCATCTCTGTTCAGTCCATGGTTTTTAGTGGCTAGCAGAGTTATGAATTGAAGATCGCAGGCTTGTCTTTTAAAAGCATTGTGCTGGTTTCCTTCGAGGACGGAGAGGTCAGACCTAGAGCGATCGCTTTGTGGAAAGTGTTTGCCCGCAGATGATAGGGTGTGTTGGTCTTTTATCATTTTCCTGTGCGAGTTCATTCGAGAGCGCGGTCATTGTCTGGTTCCACCCACATCGTTGTTATTGGATGGGGTGCAGCACATGTGCTAGGCACGTGTAGGACCCATGGATCTTGAAAGGCGTTGATCAGTTTTATGGCTGCGGGTTTTGTATCTGCTGTTCTGGTGCCGTTGGAGTTGGTGTGTCCTGGTCTGTGGGGAGCTTGGTTCTGACAATGAGCGTGGAGAAGTTGGAGGGTTGTTGGAAGCTCAGAAGTGAGGGTTCAGGAAAGATTTCTTTCAGGATGGGGTCCCCCTTGAGTCTGGGTTGTGGTTGGTCCACTAAAAGATATGACCTCCCCCATCTTGTCTCTCTCATGTCCTGAGATCAGCCCGGCTCCAGCGACACTGCGTAACTCACCCAGTGTAGCATTCTGCCTTTCCCGGGCCGCTGCTCCGTGCTCGGAGGCGCCATAGCCGTCTCGCTGCATGTCCTGACTCCTGCACTCCTCTCCCTTCCCAGCCATCACACTACTGAAGGACAGGGAGCCCGGAGCCTTCATCATTCGAGACAGCCACTCCTTCCGGGGAGCCTACGGGCTGGCCATGAAAGTAGCCTCTCCGCCTCCCACCATCCTGCAGCAGAACAAGAAAGGTATTGTCGCCCGCCCCCGCGCGCCAGCCCCAGGGAGCACACGGCACTTCCCCTCCATTGTGCCGCTGGCTGAGCACGGGGCAGCTCGGGGCAGCGGAGCGCAGCTGGGTATGTGCTGAGGCAGCAGGAACCCGCCTGGCTTGCAGGGCGTTTAACTCTCGGCCGGCCTGAGCCGAAGCCCGTGGAAGCCTAGATCCAGGCCGAGGGTTGCCGGCAGAGCGTCTCTGTGCCCTCGTTGGCAAAGAGCCCATGGGCATGGTCCCTTTTCTCTCGGCTGCTGCCCTCTCTGACCTGGGGTAGGGTGACTAGATAGAAAGTATGAAAAATCGGGACGGGGTGGGCGGTAATAGGCACCTACATAAGAAAAAGCCCCGAATATCAGGACTGTCTCTATAAAATGGGGACATCCGGTCACCCTACACTGGGGGTTAAGTGTCTGGTCCCAAGCGCCCCTGGGCTGCAGCCTAGAATAGTATTCTATGGACCGGCCTCCCCTCCCACCTACCCCAGTGCCAACTGGAGTGACCCCCGGGAAGTCAGTGGAGTTAGCCCAGACGTACGCCACTGGGGCCTGGAGCGCAGAACCTGCCTCTTTCATGCAGCCTGTGGGGGGGATTTGAAAGGAGGCCCCCGGCTGGCTGCTGACTCTCTCCGGCCGAGCTGCACCAGCTGGGAGTCCTTCGCTGCTCTGCTCCCTCTGGAACCAGCCTGCTCGCCCCCAGGGACAGCAAACCACAGCACCCCTCGGGGCTCTCGCTCCCCAGAGCCTGGGGCCCGGATCACCCAGCGGGCACTGAGGGGTGGGGCGGGCAGGAGGGATGTTCACCCAAAGGGGCCAAGGTGCTCCAGAGCCCGCTGTCCTGGGGGGCACAAGGGGGTTGGCTTCAGGAGGGGCCTGGAGTGACGTCCTCCTCCCTCCCCCCAGGAGATATAACCAATGAGCTGGTGAGGCACTTCCTGATCGAGACCAGCCCGCGGGGGGTGAAGCTAAAAGGATGCCCCAACGAGCCCAACTTCGGTAAGTGGCAACGAACCTCTCCTCCCCTGTTCAGCCCTAGGACCGTTCGGTGCCCTGTGGCAGCGACGCCCCCTTGTGGGGAGTAAGCGGCATTGATAGGAATCGTCACAGGCATGACTGGATTTGGGGTCTCCTGTGGGCATTTGGAACAGAGGCCAAAAAGCATCTCCCAGACATTGACACACGTGCACTCACACACCCACCCCCTGCAAACACAGACACAAGCCAACCAGGAGTTTGGCAACCAGACATCCAGGAACGACAGTAAAGCTGTGTCCTCTCTTAGGGTGGCCAGTTTTGGTTGGACAAATCTCTGGAGGTTTCATCACATGACGTAATCTTTAATTCAAGGTTAAGCTTTAAATCCTGGAGGGTTGGCAGCCTCGCGATACAAACGCTGCTGATCATTAAATCTGAAAGCACGGTCATAAATCTAGCTCCTCTGTGAGTTCTGATGCTCTTTACATTTTTTTGCACTCAGTTCAGGCACCAAAAGTAGTCTAGTCAGTGTCACTTTCTGCTTATGATCAGTTTCACTAGGGGGGGTCTGGTTCCCTAGCTCCAAGTTGTTGTGTTAATGGGGCAGATCTTCAACTGGTGTGAGCTGGCAGAGCGCCATCGACTTCAGCTCCGCCACTGACTCCTTGTTTCACCCTGGCCGCGTCACTTAATATTTCCCCATCTGCAAGAAGGGCTGATAACAAGGCCTCACCTCACAGCTGTGTAGGGAGGATGCATTAGCCACTCTCTGGGCTTGGAATGTGAGACACGCTAGCCCCGGTGTGTGAGGGGAGAGAACCTGGAGCCTGTGCAAAGCCAGAGACAGTCACAATCCCTGTGCTCTGGGGAACACAGGAAATTCTCCGTCTCGCTGGGGTGGAAAGAGGGCAGGGAAAGGCCACCCCGCCTCCCCCACTCCATGGAACTCCGCCCCCTGCTCAGAGCTGGGGTTGAATGCCAACATCTCCTGGCTGTTTACAAGGCCCGTGTATTGGCCTCGCTCGGCTGGTTTCCCTGGTCCCCTTTGCACAGGAGAGAGGTTAGGGATGGTTGCTGATGGTTAGGGAAAGGTGGCTGGCTCCATGGGCTCTGGAGATGGGATTGCTGTGCGCTGCCAGTGCAGGTGTTTGTATGACCCCTCTCCGGACCCGAGGAGAGCCACAGTCACTGATAGCCTCCAGCTGCCGCTTGGACTCAGGACAGGGCTGGAGAGAGACTGATCCCTCTGTAAACTAGCGCCTGACGTTCAGGGTTCAATGACCCTAACCCGGAAAGCCGATGTCCCTCATCCGTGCTGACTGGAGTGTCGGCTGGGCAGGCAGCAAGGGGAGCTCCACATGCAGCCGGTCGTCTAGAATTAACTCACGCCGGGTGTTAAAATCGCCCATGGAAACGTCACAGCTGGGTTCAAGGCGACGAGGGAGCTGGGGCTGGGTTTACCCTCCCCTGACCTCGCCCTGGGTGGGGCTCCAACCGGAAGGCAGGAGAACAAGGAACAACAGTGAACTCCAGGACATGGGGAGGTGGGAGACACTGGAAAGGACAGAGCTGGTCTGCTTCCCTGAGTATCCCCCTTACTCAAGCAGTGCCAGTGAAGTCACCGGGGCTACTCAGGACTAAGGGGATCCTGGGCCAAAGCGAGCAGGTGGAGAAGCTAGTGGATGGCTTGTTAGCTGATGGGGAAGGAACGTGCCCGGTCTATTGCAGGCTGTGCCAATGCCCCAGCCTCAGCGCTCGCACTGACCGTGTTCCCTGTCGGGCTCTCTCCCCAGGATGCCTGTCTGCTCTGGTGTACCAGCACTCCATCATCCCACTGGCCTTGCCCTGCAAGCTGGTCATTCCCGACCGAGGTAGGAGGCATGGGGCATGGGGGATGCACCGGGGCTGGGGCTGGATGGATTTTTGACCCTGCTGAGCACCGAAGGGCGGGACTGGAAAGCTTTATAAGATCCCACCTTGTGTCCCCACAAGATCCCACTGTGTCTTACCCCGGAGATGTTGCGGATTCGGTTCCTTCTTTACTTCTCTGCCAGGACCCAAGCTCAGCAGTCGGTGTCCCCTGGCAGAAGCAATGTGTGTCAAGTAATATGTTCAGGACCTGTCCATCTCATTAGTATTATTTGTGTTACCATGGGGCCTAGGAGGACTGCAGCGCCCAGGCCCTAGGGTAATGGATGGATGGGTAAGACAGAACAAAACCTCCATCTTGGCAGGGGTTAGGCCAGATGACCCTTGTGGCCCCTCCTAACCCCCTCTATGAGTCTGTGACCAGACCCCATTGTTCTTGGAGCTGTACAAACCCAGAATAGAAAGCGCTTACAACCCCTCTTTGGGATCAGGTCCCTCAGCCCCCCGGATCCAAACTCCCCCAGCCCCTGGGAAAGTTCTGATCCGCACCCTAAACACGACGTCATGACTTCGACTGAGAGGGCATCCGATCGAGATTCCCATGGAGACACGCTCCGTGCGTACGGCTCCTCGGCGACATTGTTCCCCCTCTGCAGGTCCCCACCGTAGGAGTGAGTCGCTGGAGCCCCAGCATGTCCCCTGCGGCGCGTATTCCCAGATCGCAGTCGGGGAGGAGTCACGGTCCTTCTGTTTCCCTGTTTTTTTAGATCCCACGGACAAAACGAAAGAGGCGGCCTCAGCCGCCAACTCGGCGACAGACCTGCTCAAGCAGGGAGCTGGTGAGTGGCCGCGATGTGACGGGGAAGGTTGCAGGCGCGGCGTGCGCGCTGGAGGGAGCTCCGTCTGCATCGCCTGCCGCCTTCCTTTTACCCGCCGTGTGACCCTGACGCACTTTGCTCGCCCTCGGGGATGCAGGCTTCAAAAGCAGAGCGGGGGCGCTTAGAGCCCCCGGGGGAGCCCTGGGTTCCAATCAGACAGCCACCAGGCCACGCTGGCCCCTGCGGCTGCACCGATGAGGCCGCTCACAGGCGTTGTTTTCGGTTACGAAAGATTCAGAGATAGGGAGGGCTTGGAAACCTCGGCCTCCTCCCCCATTGGAAGGGCAGCGGGCGCCATGCTGGAATTGCATAGCCGGGGTTTGGCTTCCTCAACGTTACGCTGAACGTAGGCGATGTTCAAATATACTGGGTGGGAGGGTGGTCTGGTGATCGGAGTCACCTGGGAGCCAGGACTCCTGGGTTCTCCTCCTGGCTCAGGGAAGGAACGTGGTCTAACAGAGCATGGAACTGGGAGCCAGGACTCCTGGGTTCCTTTCCTGGCTCAGTGAAGGAACGTGGTCTAATAGTTAAAGCAGGGCACGGGAAGCCAGGACTCCTGGGTTCTGCGCCCAGTTGTGCCACTGCCTGGCTGGGTAGCTTCCCCTCTCTGTGCCTCAGCGCCTGGGGGATAAGGCTGTTTCCCTTCCAGGTGGGGCTGTGAGGCTTCCATGAATGACTGTGAGGGGCGGTTCCAAAAAGCTGCTCCTCATCGTTAGAGACAGGCCCATGCCCCGGCACTGGGATCCAGAGCTTGATTTCGAATCTCCTGCAAAGTCTGGGGCTGCTTGGTCCTGGGGTTTTGTATAAAGGATCCCGTTGCTGACCCGCAAGCCTGACCGGCAGCCACCCCTGCTATTCCTGTTCTGGGCTCCCCGCCGACACACACCCAGCTCTACTGGGGCCCCTTGATCCCAGCTCGCAGCCCTCCCTGCCGTTCCAGTCCTGGGTTCCCCCCAGACAGGGCTCTGCTGATGCCCCAGCCTGGGCTCCCCCCACCCATAGCTCTGCCTCAGTCCTGACCCTCAGCCCATCCTGGGCTCCCCACCACCACCACCCCCAGCTCTGCCATGCCCCTCGCTTTGACCCACAGCCCGCTGCTACCCTAGCCGCAGATTCCCCACGCAGAGAGCTCTGCCGATGCCCCTCCGTCTTGACCCACAGCCCCATGCTTTCTTGTCCAGCCCTGGGCGCTGCCGAGAGCCAGTGTTTTAGGGTTTGGGACATGCTCAACCAGGCACCAAGCCACAAGCCTCACATTCCCTCATGATCTGAGCCGGGGATTGGAAGGGGTGGGGTCTTGAGACAAGAGAGCCGACACTCTGCCCCCTCTCCAGCCCCCCCGCTGGAGCTTAGTTCCCGAGGTGGAGGACAATAGCCAAGCGTGGGCTGGCTCCCGCATGGGTGCCTGGCCTATTGGGGCAGGGGACCTGGTGCCATTTGCACCCTGTCCCCTCACGCCCGCCGTGTTTCCCTTCCAGCCTGTAACGTGCTCTTCATCAACTCGGTGGAGATGGAGTCACTGACGGGCCCACAGGCCATCGCCAAAGCCATCAGCGAGACGCTGGCCCTGGCGCCCACGCCCACCGCCACCATCGTGCACTTCAAAGTCTCTGCGCAGGGAATCACCTTGACGGACAACCAGAGAAAGTAAGAGCCGCAGCTGAACATAAGAACGGCCGTACCGGGTCAGACCAAAGGTCCCTCTAGCCCAGTATCCTGTCTACTGACAGTGGGCAATGCCAGGTGCCCCAGAGGGAGTGGACCAACAGGCAATGATCAAGTGATCTCTCTCCTGCCATCCATCTCCACCCTCTGACAAACAGAGTCTAGGGACACCATTCCTTACCCGTCCTGGCTAATAGCCATTAATGGACTTAACCACCATGAATTTATCCAGTTCTCTTTTAAATAATAAATGGAGATCTACCTATCTCATAGAACTGGAAGGGACCTTGAAAGGTCATTGAGTCCAGCCCCCTGCCTTCACTAGCAGGACCAAGTACTAATTTTTTGCCCCAGCTCCCTAAGTGGCCCCCTCAAGGATTGAACTCACAACCCTGGGTTTAGCAGGCCAATGCTTGAACCACTGAGCTATCCCTCCCTGGGCCCAGCTCCTGTGGGGGCTGTGTCGTGCCGGGACACCCCGGCATTGAGCACACACAGGTCACCGCGGAACGAGCTGAGGTGGAAGTGGGTGAACAGGTAGGGCCACAGCTGGTCACCCCCGCAGGAATTTGCCCTCCGAACCTGGCAGGTTCTGCGGACGTAAATCCGCGGCGACGTTGGTGTCACGCTGGAACAGGCCGTCAGGAGAGGGCCGGACCGGAGACCGGTGAAGAATAGCCGGGATCTTGGAAGGAGCTGAGGACTGGGGGGGAAGCATTGCCTAATGGCTAGGGTGTGAGTCAGGGAGTTGGGAAACTGAGGCTCAATCCCCAGCTCTGTCTGTGATCTTGGGCAAGTCAGTTCCTTCAGCACCTCAGGTACAATGGGGGGTGGGGGCACTGTCCCGCCTCCCACGGGTGTAGGAGGATAAATGCACTGGAGATCATGGTAGCAGGGGGTCAGGTAAGTACCATAGAGTCCTGCAGTGGGGGGTCAGCTGGACTGGAGTTGGGATACAGTGGCTGTGGCTATTTAACCACAACTCTCAGGAGCCTTTTGGAGGCAGACGGGGTTTCTGTGTCTGAACAAACGGAGATAAGACAGAGACAGATCTGACTAGAGACTCAGTTCCATGAAAAACGGGGTCCGATCCAGACTTGATTTCAGTTCCCACCCCAGAGAGTCGCTGGGCTTTGGTTTGGGTTTTTGGATGGTATATTGAAGAGAGAGTTTGGAGCTATGCGTCTTTTAAAAGGCCCGGCCTGTCCTGGCCCTGTCACTGTGGCAGGTGGGGTATTGCCGTGGGAAATGGAGGATTTCTCACCCATGCTTCTGGGAAGGGGGCATGCACTGGGGGAGAGAGTGCTTGGCGTGCAGAGAATGCTGCCTGGGGAACAGGCTCTTGAAAGGATCATCACGTACCTGGATGCTCCCAGGCCGGGCCCACTTTACTCAGGTCTGATCCACCTCTTGCTGTCAGCTAACAGGACAACGAAAGGCTCCCTGTCCCCGTCCGTATTTCAGGTGTGGCAAGGCAAAGTCACCGTGTCACGCGTTCACCCGGCGCCATGGCCTCCGCATCCGCTGGGATTGCCCGGCTGTGTGAGGATGCAACCCCTCATTAACGCCGCCTCGTGGCAGGAGGATGCAAACGTGGCGGGAGAAGAGCCGGCGGGGCGGGGCTCCGTGCGGGATGCAGAGCCTAGAGGCTGATCTGACGCGCTCACCGTGGCCTCTGCTTGTGTTTCAGATTGTTCTTCAGACGACATTATCCCCTCAGCACCGTCACCTACTGCGACCTGGACCCCCAGGAACGAAAGTAAGTGCCGTCGCCGGAGGTCCCTGCGTGGGAATGGGGTTGGAGAAAGAATCCCCCTCCCTTGGGTCTGTGGGCGGGTCAACGTCTTCGCTAACCACACCCGGCTTGCTTCTGAGGAGGAAAAAGGCTTGATCCCATTGAAATCCAAAGGCAGCTGGCAGTCTGCAAGGGAGGGGCCACCAACCCCCGGGAAAATGAGCAGCGGCGGGGCAATCCGTCAGTGCCAGCTGACTATAATGGGTCGTTCCTGCTCCGTGCTGCTGAGAACGGCAACATCCCCCTGCTCTCGGGTCTCTGGCAATATCGCCCGGGGGGAAATCCCTAGCGACACGGTGGATTCTCCATCACTGGGAGTTGTTAAATCAAGACTGGATGTCTCTCTTGCTCTAGCCCAGTTCTGGGCTGGATGCAGGATCCCTTGGGAGGTTTTCTGGCCTTGCTATGCCGGAAGCCAGGCCAGATGAAAGTAATGGGCCCTTCCGGCTTTAAAACCTATGAACATTCCTTCCCAACCGTCAATTGGTGCTCGCGAGCGGGAAACGCTAGAGTTAAGTGTCCAATCCCGTTTCCAGCCTAGGATGCTGTTGAGGGCCCTGCAGGATACAGTCACGGCCAGATACTGCAGCCAGGCAATCCTAGCACGATGCGCCTGACTCAGCCAGCACGTTATCTGCAGAGCATGCTCTTTGTAGCCGCTGGCCTTCACTCCTGGCAAGGGATCCATTTTCAGTGGGGAACTGGGGAGTCAGATGGAGCCTGTTTGGTGTCTCTGCTTAAAAGAGTCAGGTTCTGATCAAAACAGTGCTGCAAAGGAGATCCTTTGGGTGCGGGCGTTTGCCCGTGGGCCTGGGAGGTCTTGTAGGGGGTTCGGTCCATAGAAGCAGGTCTTAGAAACAGGCTCGTATCTAGTTCCAAGACGTCAATGGACTAGAGTGACTTTATGTTCAGGGGAGTTAAGTGCCTAAATACCTCTGAGGATCTGGGCCGCACGGCCTTATTTTGATAGGTTTCCCCAGCCCCCCATGGCCTCATTTAGAGCTTCTGAAAGCCAGGCCCGGGCAGTGACTTTGCAGCCAGTGCTTGGCCTGAGACGGTGATGCTAGCAAATGAGTGTGGTACCATTGTGCTTGGTGAGAAGAGCAGTAATTCCCTGGGGCTGTTTTTCTCCCGGCAGATGGACTAAATCAGACGGCGGAGGTCCCGCAAAGTAAGTGCCACTTATCGAATTCTTTGCTGCCGTTCGCATTCTGACCGTTGGGTTGCGTTCGTGTTTTGAGCTGGCCCTGCGAGCCACCCGCTGAGTGAATGCTCCTGACAGGCAAACCGGACCAGAGCAACCCTGCCAAGCGTAGATGCTTCTCCAAGCCTCTTCCGTCAAAAAAACCAGCCATCCCGACGGGGTGTGTCCATGGGCACACATCACAGTTTGCTCTGCCCTTCAAGTCACATGTCCGGTGCATGCTAGTGGCTCCTGTCTCTGGCCTTGGTGAGCAGAGAAGCAGCAGCTGCCGGAAGGCGTGACAGGCATAGGCGACGACTCCGTGGGTGCTCCGGGGCTGGAGCACTCATGGAGAAAAATTAGTGGGTGCTGAGCACCCACTGGCAGCTCCCCGTGACCCCACCCCGCCCCCCTGCTCCAGCTCACCTCCGCCTCCTCCGCGAGCGTGCCGCTGGGTCCTGCTTCTCCTCCCTCCCTCTCAGCACTTGCGCCGCAAAACAGCTGTTTCGTGGGGCAGGGAGGGAGAGGGGAGTAGGGAGAACACGGCGCGCTGGGGGAAGAGGGGGGCCGGGGCGGGGATTTGGGGAAGGGATCCAATAGGGGC